AAGTTAAGAAGGAACCACAAAAATCGAATTAGAAGCCTACCATGAAAGATATAAAAATAAGTTATTCTTTTCATCAATATAGGGAAAAAAAATATTAACTTGTCAATAAATAAAATTTAGAATTTTATGATTTGGTCTTTAGGTCGATGTTCGTGGTAACGAAAATGTAATGTCGTCAGTACTCCCTCTTTAAGAAAAACTTTCTTTAAAAAAAAAAAAGGGGTAATGATTTTTCCGATTAAACTGTCCAATCTATTTTTTAGAACATTGTTTTCGTGACATTAGTATCAATCGAAGCATTCATTTATTTTATAATTGACTATAAAATAACTAATGGATTGACATATTGTGATTTGGAAGGTAAGATTTGATATTTGTCGCATGCTCAAAGATTCGGGGCAAATTCTAATTCCATTCCGGTGGAACGTTCCGGGCCGTTCTTGGTTGTCAACTTGTCATTATGCTGGCTAATTAAAATATAAATTTCTATTTTAGCGCTTGTTTGTTTCACATTTTTTGTCCTAAGTAGAAGAAATCAGATCGTCGCTCTTTCGAAAAGTCACTACTTTATTCATTTCATCTGACAAAAAAAAAAAAAAAGACATTTTACTGTTCAATTTATTCTTTTCATTTCACTTTACCTATTCTGCCCCTTCTCTCCCAAAAAAAAATAAAGTAAAATAAAAAAGTGAGAGTATAAATGGAACTCACAAAGACACACATAATACGGAAATTTAATTGATGTACCTAGAGCATCTTTCTAGAATCGAATTGCTGTTTGTACAGCATTTGTTTGGCAGTTTTTTCACAGTTGTCTCACAAAAGTGGGGTCCACGATTAAATAATCGTGGACCCCGCCCACTTGCATGCGTGTGTACTGTGAAAAAATTGTGAATAGTTCATATACCTATAGCATCTTTCAAGAGCCAAATTGCTGTTTGTACAACATTTGTTTGTCATCTTTTTTCACAGCTGACTCGTAGATGTGGGGTCCAAGATTATTTTAATCGTGGACCCTACCCACTTATATATGTGAACGTTGTGAAAAAAAACTGTGAATAATTGATGTACTGATAGTATCTTTCTAGAACCGAATTGCTGTTTGTACAACATTTGTTTGATAGCTATTTTCACACTTGTCTCACAAAGGTGGAGTCCACAATTATTTTAATCGTGGATCCCATCCACTTGTTTGTGTGTGTGCTGTGAATAATTAATGTACATATAGCATCTTTCTAGAACCAAATTGCTGTTTGTACAGCATTTGTTTGACAGCTTTTTTCACGGTTGTCTCACAGAGGTGGGGTCCATGATTATTTTAATCATGGATCCCATCCACTTGTATGTGTGCGCGCTATGAAAAAAGCTGTGAATAATTGATGTATCTATAGCATCTTTCTAGAGCCAAATTGATGTTTATACAACATTTGTTTGATAGCTTTTTTCACAGCTGTCTCACAGAGGTTGGGTCCACGATTATTTTAATCGTGGACCCTACCCTCTTGCATGTGTGTGCTCTGTGAAAAAAATTGTGAATAATTAATGTACCGATAGCATCTTTCTAGAACCGAATTGTTATTTGTACAGCATTTGTTTGACAGCTTTTTTCATAGTTTTCTCACAAAGGTAGGGTCCACGATTATTTTAATCATGGATCCCACCCACTTACGTGTGTGTGTGCTGTGAAAAAAGTTGTGAATAATTGATGTACTTATAGCATCTTTCTAGAACCGAATTGCTGTTTGTACATCATTTGTTTGATAGCTTTTTTCACAGCTGTCTCACAGAAATAATCGTGGACCCCACCCACTTACATATGTGTGTGCTGTGAAAAAAGCTGTAAATAATTTATGTATCTAAAGCATCTTTCTAGAACCGAATTGTTGTTTATACAACATTTGTTTGATAGCTTTTTTAACAGTTGTCTCACAAAAGTGGGGTTCACAATTATTTTAATCGTAGATCCCACCCACTTGCATGTGTGTGCTATGAAAAAAGTTGTGAATAATTAATGTACTTATAGCATCTTTCTAGAACCAAATTACTGTTGGTATAGAATTTGTCTGACATCTTTTCTCACAGCTGTCTCACAAAGGTGGAGTCCATAATTATTTTAATCGTGGATCCCACCCACTTACATGTGCGTGCTGTGAAAAAAGTTGTGAATAATTAATGTACGTATAGCATCTTTCTAGGATCAAATTGCTGTTGGTATAGCATTTGTTTGACATCTTTTCTCACAGCTGTCTCACAAAGGTGGGGTTGCCAATTATTTTAATCGTGGAACTCACCCACTCCCATGTGTGTATGCTGTGAAAAAAGCTATGAATAATTGATGTACTTATAACATCTTTCTAGAGCCAAATTGCTATTTGTACAGCATTTGTTTGACAGCTTTTTTCACAGCTGTCTCACAGAGGTGGAGTCCATGATTATTTTAATCGTAGACCCTACCCACTTACATGTGTGTGCGCTGTGAAAAAAGTTATGAATAATTGATGTACCGATAGCATCTTTCTAGAACCAAATTGCTGTTTGTACAGCATTTGTTTGACAACTTTTTTCATAGTTGTCTCACAGAGGTGGGGTCCATGATTATTTTAATCGTGGATTCCACCCACTTGCATGTGTGTGTGCTGTAAAAAAAATTGTGAATAATTGATGTACCTATAACATCTTTCTAGAACTGAATTGCTGTTTGTACAACATTTGTTTGATAGCTTTTTTCACAGCTCTCTTATGTGTATTGTGAAAAAAAAAACAGTAAATAATTGATGTATCTAAAGTATCTTTCTAGAATCGAATTGTTGTTGTTTGTACAACATTTATTTGATAGTTTTTTCACAGTTGGGGTCCAAAATTATTTTAATCGTGGATCCCACCCGCTTGCATGTGTGTGCGCTGTGAGAAAAGTTATGAATAATTAATGTACCTATAGCATCTTTTTAGAACCAAATCGCTATTGGTACAGCATTTTGTTTGACAGTTTTTTTCACAACTGTCTCACAGAGGTGAGGTCTCTGATTATTTTAATCGTGGAACTCACCCACTTGCATGTGTGTATGCTATGAAAAAAGCTGTGAATAATTGATATACATATAACATCTTTTTAGAACCGAATTGCTGTTTGTACAACATTTATTTGACATCTTTTTCACAGCTGTCTCATAGGGGTGGTAATCGTGAACCCCACCCACTTGCATGTGTGTGTGCTATGAAAAAAGCTATGAATAATTGATGTATCTATAGCATCTTTCTAGAACCGAATTACTATTTGTACTATTTGTACAGCATTTGTTTGATAGTTTTTTTACAGCTGTCTCACAAAGGTGGGGTCCACGATTATTTGAATCGTGGACCCCACCCACTTGCATTTGTTTGTGCTATGAAAAATTGATGTACCTATAACATCTTTCTTAACAATAGCGTCAAGACAAGGTAAGATGTGTTCGTGTATTTTTATCAGAAATTTCTCATTAAAAATATCCAAAGAGATTACGCTAAATAAAGATTAGAGTATTTTTACATATTTTAGTGGGGTTCGTAACTCCTATCTAAATGAGTTTGGAGTACAAGTACCATTTTGTTTCAAGCATCGTTAGAATTTAAATAACTTTTTTGGAGAGTGACAAGACATGTGAAAAACCTTACGTTCGACCCAACTAACACCTAGAGGGGGGGTGAATAGGTGTTCATGCGGAATTAAAAAACTTATCAATTAATTCGTGCAACAAGTCACAAGAATTAAAGTTTGTCCAGATTCATTCACATGTCTTAATTACCTATGTTGAATTACCGGTAACAATAAATAAATTAAAGCAATAAAAGAACACAACGAATGTTGACGGAGAAACCCCAACTGGGTAAAAACTCCGGGCACAAGCCAGTAGAGATCCACTATTTGTAGAAGGTAACTTACAGTACGCCAGAACAATTGATCCCCTCAATTTTCTAACCTCCTTACTGTTTGAGAACAAGACTCTCCTGGATCTAGCAGATCTGTGCTACCATCCCAGCCTTGTGTGACTTCTACTTCCCGTGAATCGTCAAGCACTCCCGCCCTTCAAGCAAGTTCTTCCCGGATCTTCAATCTGAGGATCTTCTGGAAGTTTTATAGGATTTAGAGAAGGTGGTGTTTTGGTGTTTCAGGGTGTGATATTTTTTTTTTTTTTTTTTGCTTTTCGAGGATTTTGATCTTCAAGGATTTTAGAGAGAATCAATAATATGGCTTCAATGTGTATTTCCTCTCTCTTCAACTCGAAGAAGACGAATCATATTTATATGGCTCAACGTATGATTTTTGTGGCGCGTCAAAAAATCGCGAGCTTTTAAACTTAATGTTGCCCAGATAAATAGGTCGCTGGAGCGAGGGACCAGCGTGATTCGAGCGACGTCCACTTAGCTCAAGCGATCTGTTGGCGAGGCTCTAGCGACAGTGGTTCTGCAATCGTGGCTCGAGCGAGATCATGGCGTGGCTCGAGCGAAATCTCGCGCCGTTTGCAACTTTGAGGCATCCATCACAACCCTAGACCTAGCCTTCAACACTTTGATTATTAGCAACTCAAGTCCCTGAACTATTGGACATTTGACACTTTGGTCCTTGACCTTACAATTATGACATTTGAATCCTTGACTTTACAATTATTACATTTTGGTCCTTGATCACAGATTTGCCAATTACATATTTCCTAACAACATGGATTACTTCAGCTAACTCATTGACTCCGCGTTCATGAAATTTCAGATACCGTACTTTTTAAAAGACTTCATCGTCATGTACAAGATCGGTGTGTGTGTCGAAGACTTCGAGGATGAAAATTTACATATATTTCCTATGGAGCATTCAAAAGATTCACATACAAAATGAACACCAAGCGTGTTTGCCCACTGTACATTCTCTTCATATACATTCGACTAAGTTTTTGACTCAAAAAACAGCGTGTAACAAAAACTTTACAAGCCAATATGATCTAGAGGACTACAGTAGCTATTGTACAGCATCAGAAAATCGAAAAAGAAGAAAGAATTCAACCAGATAAATATCTCTCAGACGATATCAATGGAACCAATTGATCTTGTAGACATTGATCTGTTGGAGCCTTCCTTAGATGCAGAACAAGTAATGGATCTGTTGGAGCCTTCCTTAGTTGCAGAACAAGTAATGGATCTGTTAGAACCCTCCTTTGCTAATGAACAAGAAGCATCCTTTGCAGCTGAATAATGTATCAAGTTCTTAACAACCTGCCGATATCTCCTTCTGTAAGTTGGAAACTTGGAAACACTTCTAGACATTCCCAACATCCTGCTAAGCACACAACAAATGTTAAGTATATGTATGGTAGTGCTTTTAAGTGCTTATAAATCATGGGTCCTATGAAATGTATGAATAATAAGTGAATAGTAACTGTAGATTCCATGAAATGTGTGGATACAGTTATTCTCCCGAAGCCTAGGTCTACCAAATACGTGCCCACCTGATATTCTTTTTTTACATGGTAGGAATATTAGGTCGATATTAAAGGAATAATATTTTTTTTATTTTTTTATTTTTACCTGCGACCGATACCATCTAATCGAGCAGCTCTGACAGGGTCTTCAGGAATAAAACTACCATTTTCCCAAGTCTTAAGGTGTTCTTTATTGTTTCCAAAGAGAATCAACTTCTCCAGGTACCGTATCTCGCCCTCTTCCAAAGAAAGGACTCGGATTTGTTCTTTGAGGACCATCACAGGCTGGAAAAACCAGTCCAACAATCTGCTCTGGGGCCGATTCAAATGGGTGATCTCAAGATCATCCAAAAGCAGTAGCCCATTGGAGCCAGATTTGATCGAGTGCAGCATTGTTTGCAAAAATGAAAAACAGGGCAATCCAACAGCAACAATGGACGCATCGTTTGTTTTCTTTGCCTTCAACCAATCATTGAGGTCAGCAGTTGTTATGACATTTGCATCCAATAGTTCCTTGCCTCTCTGTTCGCATAGTCTCATTGTGCTTCCCCATACCTGTCACAAATTTTGCAAAATAAGAGAGACCATTCATTTCTATTTCAAGGCAAGCAGCAAATGTGAACAATAAAATGTGACATAATTGTCAATAGTCCCATTGTTAGAGAATTAGCTATTCTCTACATCATGCCAAAATCAGGGCCTAATCCAGTCCTGGCTGTGACTGGCTTGTCATCACAACAATAATTAATTTGAGGATAGTCAATGGACCCTTCACAAGATCTTAATATGTATTCCAGAATAGGAGGCCGAGGAAATTTTCATTTAATTGATTCACTAGCTTCATGTTAAGTCAAAAAAATAAATAAAAATTTACTATCACTTATTTATTAAGTTTATTATACACTTCTGCTTCAACTTCATTCTTCAGTTTTCTGCTTTTCTCAGTAAATACATTAACTTAACTTCTATAACAACAAAGTAAGCCTCGTTTAACAATAAATGTGTTTGTGGTCGACTACATGTATCCATTTCTGTAACTCCATTCGGTTCATTGCTCGATCTACTAGAAGATCTAAAGCTAGAAGATTTTAACTATTACATGCCACGCTAGTTTCTGTATAAATAATTAGATATTTATGCTTGACACATTAGTTTTTCAAAGCAAAAAATTGAATTTCAATTATACCACAAGTCCTCATAATTACTTTCTCTTGCATTAATAAAATCCTTACTTCGATTAATTGACAGTATAGTGTACTCAGAAGTTTCTTCCTGTTAGCAATCAATTGTATCCTTAAGCTATTACATGGAAGTACAATATATTGTTAATGGCAACGTTTCTGCATGTCTTAGATGTCAAATTATCCTGAATTTCCCTAATTACTGAACATGCATACCTGCACCATTGGCACCTCATGTATTGCCTCCCGAACAGATCTTGATGCTATAAGGTTTGGCACGATGATTGAAGGAGCTTCAGTGAAGACAGCACTGTAATTTCCATGTAAGGAGTGATTTTGCTGAACAGAAAACTCAGAACTGGATTTACTTTTCTTCCTGTATCGGGGCCTGGCCATGAGTAACAAGATTAGTGTCTTGAAAGGGGAATGACTACAAAAAAGGCTATACAACTTTGAGAATTTTGATAATTTATTTTATTTTATTTTTTAAAAAAAACGGGGTAAAGTTACTCAATTACTTTTTTAAGTATTTTTTTGGCTCAAATATGTTAAATAACAAACCTTTTCTTACTTCTAAATAAAATAAAAAGAATTACCCTTTTAATAGCAACTCTTACTTTAGTGTAAAAACAAGAACTTAAATACTTCTAACTTACAAAAAGAAAATCGTATACTTACTCATTTACTTGTAAGTAAACTTTCTAAGCATAGAATTCTCTTCATCCATGAAGCAATGATAAAAACCCTCGAGAAAAAAAAAATAATGAATGGAACTAATTACTTTGGAAGGATTGACCCCTCACGAAGATAGAGCAAATCATTTGTGTACTCGTCAAATTCAGCAACCATAGCAATGACATAAGCAACACCTCTTCGGAAGGACCTTTCCTGAATCACCATGAATGATCGCCAGTAAAAAACCACATGTAATTCATGAAATTGTGTTTTGAAAAACTCTGTGGCTGAAATATACCTGGTACACTATAACGGATCCATATAATCCTATGAAAAAACTTGAAAATATAGCCATTATGATGCTCCCAATAACAACAAGCGGCCACATAAGGATTGCCAAACCAGCAATTGGAACACAAGCTGTTTCTAAAAATGGGCCTTCCCGGCTGATCAAATCGTGTACTAATCTATGCCATCCCTTGAACAACATGTAAGGACTCTTTACTATTGCAATAGCTGTGTAAAGAGGAATTTCCACTATCAGCCCCATCAAACCAACAATGATGCACCCAGGAACATGAATGAGCCTGCACGATGGTTTCATCAAAGATTAAGAACGATAATAATCTCCTAATTCCATCACATTTTCATGACATGTATTCACCTGTGTAATACTTTCCATTCAGAAAAATCTGAAGAAACGGAAATTTTAAATGCTTATGTTAATGTTAACCAGAGCAATTCTCGGCCAACGAAGGAGACGATTCAGTAAACATTTTATGTTATGCTATCCCTTCTTAATTTTACCTGGCTGAGAAATATAACATGTTGTGGCATTGTTATTACACCCCTGTTTGAGCCTTATTTTTAGGAGAATAGATTTTGTAAAAAGTGATTTTTTTTGGAGAACGTCTTGTTAAAATGTTTTTAATTTACGTGCAAAAATATTTTATTGGGAGAATGTGTCAAACAATGAGTTTGGAAAAAATTGAGTTTTAAAGAATGGGCTCAAATGGGGCTAAATCTAATTAACGTAATTATGTCGAGTGTAAATTTCCTTCAACCTCAAAACAAAATGAAGAGATAAATTTATCATTGATAAGAAAAATCTTGTTCAATTGGAATTAAGATAAATTTCCTTTATTTGCCCATAGGATTGTTATTGTTCACTGAAAAAAAACAGATAAGAAGAAATATAAAAATAAAACAAAAAATTTACGGACTATTAAAGCTTTCACTACAAGAAAATTTGTTCAATCATATAGAATTTTCAGTCACCTAAACCCCCAAGTATTGTAAGAAAAAAATATCATAAACTTTACCACACCTACCAATTTACTCTTTGTACAACCCACAAAGAAAATAAGAAAAATCAGGATACTAGACTTACAATGTTTCCTCACTAAACTTTCCAGCCATGTGTGAAAACTATACTCATCAAATTGGAATTTTTTATAATCCTTTTCATATTCAATTACCAGCTCCCATTCATTTCAAATTATAACACTCAGCGGACCAGCAAGCATAGGAATCTTCAATTAAAATTTTAACTTTTTTTCTTATTTGCATTGAAATTGTCTTAATTTAGAATTTTTTGAGGTAACAATCCCAACAATCTCTACTTAGCCAAAAACAAGCCAAATGCCTCGTCCGCCCCTTTAGAGGGCAGGATTAATTTGGCTTAAAAGCCTAATCAGTTAATTAAAAGGGTCCCAAAATAATACAATATAGTTTGGAGACCAATGGAGAAATTCCTGAAACCCCATCATTAAGTAAAGGACCCATTAGGGCATGATGATTGCCTTTATAAATTGTGCAGTATGAACATGAATTCTGTGTGAGAAAACTGAAATGACAACAGAAAATTTACGTACGGTAGGTAGAGATAGGAGAGGAAAAATAGTAGGAAAGATTAGAGCTTTGCTAGACGATTGAAACATTTTCAGTTTCATTTCAGACTCCATTTGGTAAGATCATTAAATCTTCTCTTTATTATTTGTCCATAGAAAGCACCTAGCATATGATGAATATTTTGGTGAATTCTTGATGATATTGCGATACTCTAGTATTACCTAGAGAAGTTGCAATCTCATCATTATAGATTATAGTTGAAGAACTAATCGAAGTTGTGCCCGTGGATGTCTCCAAGTTGCCAAACCACATTATCTTGGCGTTCTTGAAATTTATATATTTTCCTATTAGCATTGTTAGAATTGGTTGATTACCCTATTTTATTTACACACAAAGTGGGAAAAGATTTATTCTGCCGTGTAAATAGTTTGTTTCCGAACAAGTGATATCCGAAATTCATTATTATTATTTATTTACTTTTGTAATAGAATGGAAGAAAAATCATTTGGGATGATAAAATTGAGTTCGTCAAAATATCAATTGGGAAACAAAAAATGCATGATATGCTATACTGCAAAGATTTGTTTAAGCGTGTTAAATGTACAGCAAATCTAGAAAAATTATCTGATGAAATCGGAAACATTGCACATGAAAACCGCTACTATGATCAGATAGTGGGTTGATCATAATATATTTCATCATATTGCTGAAGAAACAAGGCTGATGCAGTTTGGAAAAAGTAAGAATCCATGTACGAGAAGAATACATCCAGAAATAAAGCAACAATAATTAGAATGCTCACAAATTTGAAGTAAAGGACTCAGTACGGTAGAGCATACAAGTGAGTTTATTGCCTTAGCGAATCAATTATCAACTATGAAGATGAACCTCGAAGATAAGCAGCAGGCACGTTTACTGCTCAGTTCTTTGCATGATAGTTGGAATACACTAGTGATTTAATTAAGCAACTCAGTATCAGATGGAAAATTAATCATCGATATATATAGAGAGTTTGCTCTACGAATAAGCCATAAAAAAGGAAAAAGTTGAATATTCTTCTGATGCCCTTGCAACTGAACAACATGAAAAGTGGGTAAGAAGTAAAAGCAGAAAGGCTGGTGGTCATGGGTAAAGGGATTCTTCTAGTGGGAAGTTTAAATCTAGAAAGAAATTGAGGTGTTATCATTGCAACAAACTTGGACATAAAAAGAGTGAGGGTAGAATTTGGAAAAGAGAACAGATGAAGGACAGGAAACTTGAGACAACAGATATGAGCTCAAGCGTTTAAGAGTTGGAGCATTTCAAATGGGTTGGGAGAAAAAACAAAAGAACAAAATAAAAGTAAAATATGCCAATATTTCATATATTCTTGATTTGTTTGAATGATATGCAACTTTGTGACTTTTTTCTGTCACCTAAAACTGAACAGATTTTAGTTTTTCCCGTTGAACAGACTAGTCTGATTTGGTTTTGACAATTGATCACATCAACTTCAAAGGTACAAAATTTTTATTGATATTTTGAAATTTTGATTCTCATACTAAGTTAATAAGATATAATGTCAAAAGTTAAGAAGGAACCACAAAAATCGAATTAGAAGCCTACCATGAAAGATATAAAAATAAGTTATTCTTTTCATCAATATAGGAAAAAAAAATATTAACTTGTCAATAAATAAAATTTAGAATTTTATGATTTGGTCTTTAGGTCGATGTTCGTGGTAACGAAAATGTAATGTCATCAGTACTCCCTCTTTAAGAAAAACTTTCTTTAAAAAAAAAAAAGGGGTAATGATTTTTCCGATTAAACTGTCCAATCTATTTTTTAGAACATTGTTTTCGTGACATTAGTATCAATCGAAGCATTCATTTATTTTATAATTGACTATAAAATAACTAATGGATTGACATATTGTGATTTGGAAGGTAAGATTTGATATTTGTCACATGCTCAAAGATTCGGGGCAAACTCTAATTCCATTCCGGTGGAACGTTCCGGGCCGTTCTTGGTTGTCAACTTGTCATTATGCTGGCTAATTAAAATATAAATTTCTATTTTAGCGCTTGTTTGTTTCACATTTTTTGTCCTAAGTAGAAGAAATCAGATCGTCGCTCTTTCGAAAAGTCACTACTTTATTCATTTCATCTGACAAAAAAAAAAAAAAAATAAATGACAATTTGAATTTAATCTTCAATGGATTGTGTCCATAACTTAAATTTGAGAGAAAAAAATTTAAGGCTCCGTTTGATTGCACGAAATTTTCCATGGAACTTGGAATTCGAATTCCAACTTCCACTTTTGACCTGTTTGATTGACAAAATTTTCCAGGGAATTGATTTTCCATGAATTTCTAGGTACAACAATTTAAAGCGTGATTTTTCACCTTTTATTTTCTTAGGGGTAGGTGATTTTTGGTTTTTGTTTGGTATTTGGTCCGGTGTATCTGGAATTTGATGTGTGTGCGCTGTGAAAAAAGTTGTGAATAATTGATGTACCAATAGCATATTTCTAGAACTGAATTGGTATTTGTATAGCATGACAGCTTTTTTCACAGCTGTCTCATAGAAATAATCGTGGACCCCACCCACTTGCATATGTGTGTGCTGTGAAAAAAGTTGTAAATAATTTATGTATCTAAAGCATCTTTCTAGAACCGAATTGTTGTTATGATAGCATTTTTCACAGTTGTCTCACAAAGGTGGGGTCCACAATTATGTTAATCGTGGATCCCACCCACTTGCATGTATGTGCTGTGAAAAAAATTGTGAATAATTAATGTACCTATAGCATCTTTCTAGAACCAAATTGCTGTTGGTATAGCATTTGTTTGACATCTTTTCTCACAGTTGTCTCACAAAGGTAGGGTCCACAATTATTTTAATCGTGGATCCCACCCACTTGCATGTGTGTGCTGTGAATAATTAATGTACCTATACCATCTTTCTAGAACGAAATTGCTGTTGGTATAGCATTTGTTTGACATCTTTTCTCATAGCTGTCTCACAAAGGTGGGTCCCCGATTATTTTAATCGTGGAACTCACTCACTTGCATGTGTGTATGTTGTGAAAAAAGTTGTGAATAATTGATGTACTTATAGCATCTTTCTAGAGCCGAATTGCTATTGGTACAACATTTGGTTGACAGCTTTTTTCACAGCTGTCTCACAGAGGTGGGGTCCACGATTATTTTAATCATAGACCCTACCCACTTGCATGTGTGTGCGCTGTGAAAAATGTTGTGAATAATTGATGTACCGATAGCATATTTCTAGAACTGAATTGCTATTTGTACAGCATGACAGCTTTTTTCACAGCTGTCTCACAGAAATAATCGTGGACCCCACCCACTTGTATATGTGTGCTGTGAAAAAAGTTGTAAATAATTTATGTATCTAAAGCATTTTTCTAGAACCGAATTGTTGTTATGATAGCATTTTTCACAATTGTCTCACAAAGGTGGGGTCCACAATTATGTTAATCATGGATCCCACCCACCTGCATGTGTGTGCCGTGAAAAAAACTGTGAATAATTAACGTACCTATAGCATCTTTCTAGAACCAAATTGCTGTTGGTATAGCATTTGTTTGACATCTTTTCTTACAGCTGTCTCACAAAGGTGGGGTCCACAATTATTTTAATCGTGGATCCCACCCACTTGCATGTGTGTGCTGTGGATAATTAATGTACCTGTAGCATCTTTCTAGAACCAAATTGCTGTTGGTATAGCATTTGTTTGACATCTTTTCTCTTAGTTGTCTCACAAAGGTGGGTCCCCGATTATTTTAATCGTGGAACTCACTCACTTGCATGTGTGTATGTTGTGAAAAAAGTTGTGAATAATTGATGTACTTATAGCATCTTTCTAGAGCCGAATTGCTATTTGTACAGCATTTGGTTGACAGCTTTTTTCACAGCTGTCTCATAGAGGTGGGGTCCACGATTATTTTAATCGTAGACCCTATCCACTTGCATGTGTGCGCATTGTGAAAAAAGCTATGAATAATTGATGTACCGATAACATCTTTCTAGAACCAAATTGCTGTTTATACAATATTTATTTGACAACTTTTTTCACAGTTGTCTCACAGAGGTGGGGTCCATGATTATTTTAATTGTGGATCCCACACACTTGCATGTGTGTGTGCTGTGAAAAAAATTGTGAATAATTGATGTACCTATAGCATCTTTCTAGAACCGAATTGCTATTTGTACAACATTTGTTTGACAGCTTTTTTCATAACTGTTTCTATGTGTGTGTTGTGAAAAAAAAAACTGTAAATAATTGATGTATCTAAAGCATCTTTCTAAAATCGAATTGTTGTTTGTACAACATTTATTTGATAGTTTTTTCACAGTTGTCTCACAAAGGTGGGGTCCACAATTATTTTCATCGTGGATTCCACCCGCTTGCATATGTGTGCATTGTGAGAAAAGTTATGAATGATTAATGTACCTATAGCATCTTTCTAGAAGCAAATTGCTGTTGGTACAACATTTGTTTGACAGTTTTTTTCACAACTGTCTCACAGATGTGAGGTCTCTAATTATTTTAATCATGCTGTGAATAATTGATGTACCTGTAGCATCTTTCTAGAATCGAATTGCTGTTTGTAGAGCATTTGTTTGACAGCTTTTTTCATGGCTATCTCACAAGGGTGGTAATCGTGGACCCTACCCACTTGAATGTGTGTGTGCTATGAAAAAAGCTATGAATAATTAATGTACCTATAACATCTTTCTAGAATTGAATTGCTATTTGTAAAGCATTTGTTTGATAGCTTTTTTTACAGCTGTCTCACAAAGGAGGGGTCCACGATTGTTTGAATCGTAGACCCCACCTACTTGCATTGGTTTGTGCTGTGAATAATTGATGTATCTATAACATCTTTCTTAACAATAGCGCCAAGACAAGGTAAGATGTGTTCGTGTACTTTTATCAGAAATTTCTCATTAAAAATATCCAAAGAGATTACACTAAGAGGGTGTTTGAGCCACATTATTTTGGTAATAATGCACTCTTGAATAGTGTATTGATGGGAAATGTGTGATTAAAAAATAACGAAAAGTTTTTGATCTACGTGTAATATTATTTTATTGAAGAATGTATGATTGAAATGATGTCAAATCACTATTTAAAAATATATTTTTTTGAAATAATGTGACTCAAATATGCCCTTAATAAAAATTAGAGTATTTTTACATATTTTAGTGGGGTTCGTAACTCCTATCTAAATGAGTTTCGAGTACAAGTACCATTCTGTTTCAAGCATCATTAGAATTTAAATAACTTTTTTGAGAGAGTGACAAGACATGGATTACTTCAGCTAACTCATTGACTCCGCGTTCATGAAATTTCAGATACCGTACTTTTTAAAAGACTTCATCGTCATGTACAAGATCCGCGTGCATGTCTGAGCCTTCGAAGATGAAAATTTACATATATTTCCTATGAAGCATTCAAAAGATTCACATACAAAATGAACACCAAGCGTGTTTGCCCACTGTACATTCTCTTCATATACATTCAACGAAGTTTTTGACACAAAAAACAGCGTGTAACAAAAACTTTACAAGCCAATATGATCTAGAGGACTACAGTAGCTATTGTACAGCATCAGAAAATCGAAAAAGAAGAAAGAATTCAACCAGATAAATATCTCTCAGACGATATCAATGGAACCAATTGATCTTGTAGACATTGATCTGTTGGAGCCTTCCTTAGATGCAGAACAAGTAATGGATCTGTTGGAGCCTTCCTTAGTTGCAGAACAAGTAATGGATCTGTTAGAACCCTCCTTTGCTAATGAACAAGAACCATCCTTTGCAGCTGAATAATGTATCAAGTTCTTAACAACCTGCCGATATCTCCTTCTGTAAGTTGGAAACTTAGATACACTTCTAGACATTCCCAACATCCTGCTAAGCACACAACGAATGTTAAGTATATGTATGGTAGTGCTTTTAAGTGCTTATAAACCATGGGTCCTATGAAATGTATGACTAATAAGTGAATAGTAACTGTGGATTCCATGAAATGTATGGATACAGTTATTCTCCCGAAGCCTAGGTCTACCAAATACGTGCCCACCTGATATTCTTTTTTTACACGGTAGGAATATTAGGTCGATATTAAAGTAATATATATATATATTTTTTTTTACCTGCGACCGATACCATCTAATCGAGCAGCTCTGACAGGGTCTTCAGGAATAAAACTACCATTTTCCCAAGTCTTAAGGTGTTCTTTATTGTTTCCAAAGAGAATCAACTTCTCCAGGTACCGTATCTCGCCCTCTTCCAAAGAAAGGACTCGGATTTGTTCTTTGAGGACCATCACAGGCTGGAAAAACCAGTCCAACAATCTGCTCTGGGGCCGATTCAAATGGGTGATCTCAAGATCATCCAAAAGCAGTAGCCCATTGGAGCCAGATTTGATCGAGTGCAGCATTGTTTGCAAAAATGAAAAACAGGGCAATCCAACAGCAACAATGGATGCATCGTTTGTTTTCTTTGCCTTCAACCAATCATTGAGGTCAGCAGTTGTTATGACATTTGCATCCAATAGTTCCTTGCCTCTCTGTTCGCATAATCTCATTGTGCTTCCCCATACCTGTCACAAATTTTGCAAAATAAGAGAGACCATTCATTTCTATTTCAAGGCAAGCAGCAAATGTGAACATTAAAATGTGACATAATTGTCAATAGTCCCATTGTTAGAGAATTAGCTATTCTCTACATCATGCCAAAATCAGGGCCTAATCCAGTCCTGGCTGTCACTGGCTTGTCATCACAACAATAATTAATTTGAGGATAGTCAATGGACCTTTCACAAGATCTTAATATGTATTCCAGAATAGGAGGCCGAGAAAATTTTCATTTAATTGATTCACTAGCTTCATGTTAAGTCAAAAAAATAAATAAAAATTTACTATCACTTATTTATTAAGTTTATTATACACTTCTGCTTCAACTTCATTCTTCAGTTTTCTGCTTTTCTCAGTAAATACATTAACTTAACTTCTATAACAACAAAGCAAGCCTCGTTTAACAATAAATGTGTTTGTGGTCGACTACATGTATCCATTTCTGTAACTCCATTCGGTTCATTGCTCGATCTACTAGAAGATCTAAAGCTAGAAGATTTTAACTATTACATGCCACGCTAGTTTTTGTATAAATAATTAGATATTTATGCTTGTCACATTAGATTTTCAAAGCAAAAAATTGAATTTCAATTATTCCACGAGTCCTCATAATTACTTTCTCTTGCATTAATAAAATCCTTACTTCGATTAATTGACAGTATAGTGTACTCAGAAGTTTCTTCCTGTTAGCAATCAATTGTATTCTTAAGCTATTACATGGAAGTACAATATATTGTTAATGGCAACGTTTCTGCATGTCTTAGATGTCAAATTATCCTGAATTTCCCTAATTACTGAACATGCATACCTGCACCATTGGCACCTCATGTATTGCCTCCCGAACAGATCTTGATGCTATAAGGTTTGGCACGATGATTGAAGGAGCTTCAGTGAAGACAGCACTGTAATTTCCATGTAAGGAGTGATTTTGCTGAACAGAAAACTCAGAACTGGATTTACTTTTCTTCCTGTATCGGGGCCTGGCCATGAGTAACAAGATTAGTGTCTTGGAATGGGAATGACTACAAAAAAGGCTATACAACTTTGAGAATTTTGCTAATTTATTTTATTTTATTTTTTTAAAAAAAGGGGGTAAAGTTACTCAATTACTTTTTTAAGTATTTTTTTGGCTCAAATATGTTAAATAACATACCTTTTCTTACTTCTAAATAAAATAAAAAGAATTACCCTTTTAATAGCAACTCTTACTTTAGTGTAAAAACAAGAACTTAAATACTTCTAACTTACAAAAAGAAAAATCGTATACTTACTCATTTACTTGTACGTAAACTTTCTAAGCATAGAATTCTCTTCATCCATGAAGCAATGATAAAAGCCCTCGAGAAAAAAAAATAATGAATGGAAGTAATTACTTTGGAAGGATTGACCCCTCACGAAGATAGAGCAAATCATTTGTGTACTCGTCAAATTCAGCAACCATAGCAATGACATAAGCAACACCTCTTCGGAAGGACCTTTCCTGCATCACCATGAATAATCGCCAGTAAAAAACCACATGTAATTCATGAAATTGTGTTTTGAAAAACTCTGTGGCTGCAATGTACCTGGTATACTATAACGGATCCATATAATCCTATGAAAAAACTTGAAAATATAGCCATTATGATGCTCCCAATAACAACAAGCGGCCACATAAGGATTGCCAAACCAGCAATTGGAACACAAGCTGTTTCTAAAAATGGGCCTTCCCGGCTGATCAAATCGTGTACTAATCTATGCCATCCCTTGAACAACATGTAAGGACTCTTTACTATTGCAATAGCTGTGTAAAGAGGAATTTCCACTATCAGCCCCATCAAACCAACAATGATGCACCCAGGAACATGAATGAGCCTGCACGATGGTTTCATCAAAGATTAAGAACGATAATAATCTCCTAATTCCATCACATTTTCATGACATGTATTCACCTGTGTAATACTTTCCATTCAGAAAAATCTGAAGAAACGGAAATTTTAAATGCTAATGTTAATGTTAACCAGAGCAATTCTCGGCCAACGAAGGAGATTATACAGTAAACATTTTATGTTATGCTATCCCTTCTTAATTTTACCTGGCTGAGAAATATAACCTGTTGTGGCATTGTTATTACACCCCTGTTTGAGCCTTATTTTTAGGAGAATAGATTTTGTAAAAAGTGATTTTTTTGGAGAACGTCTTGTTAAAATGTTTTTAATTTTACGTGCAAAAATATTTTATTGGGAGAATGTGTCAAACAATGAGTTTGGAAAAAATTGAGTTTTAAAGAATGGGCTGAAATGGGGCTAAATCTAATTAACGTAATTATGTCGAGTGTAAATTTCCTTCAACCTCAAAACAAAATGAAGAGATAAATTTATCATTGATAAGAAAAATCTTGTTCATTTGGAATTAAGATAAATTTCCTTTATTTGCCCATAGGATTGTTATTGTTCACTGAAAAAAAAAACAGATAAGAAGAAATATAAAAATAAAACAAAAAATTTACGGACTATTAAAGCTTTCACTACAAGAAAATTTGTTCAATCATATAGAATTTTCAGTCACCTAAACCCCCAAGTATTGTAAGAAAAAAATATCATAAACTTTACCACACCTACCAATTTACTCTTTGTACAACCCACAAAGAAAATAAGAAAAATCAGGATACTAGACTTACAATGTTTCCTCACTAAACTTTCCAGCCATGTGTGAAAACTACACTCATCAAATTGGAATTTTTTATAATCCTTTTCATATTCAATTACCAGCTCCCATTCATTTCAAATTATAACACTCAGCGGACCAGCAAGCATAGGAATCTTCAATTAAAATTTTAACTTTTTTTCTTATTTGCATTGAAATTGTCTTAATTTAGAATTTTTTGAGGTAACAATCCCAACAATCTCTACTTAGCCAAAAACAAGCCAAATGCCTCGTCCGCCCCTTTAGAGGGCAGGATTAATTTGGCTTAAAAGCCTAATCAGTTAATTAAAAGGGTCCCAAAATAATACAATATAGTTTGGAGACCAATGGAGAAATTCCTGAAACCCCATCATTAAGTAAAGGACCCATTAGGGCATGATGATTGCCTTTATAAATTGTGCAGTATGAACATGAATTCTGTGTGAGAAAACTGAAATGACGACAGAAAATTTACGTACGGTAGGTAGAGATAGGAGAGGAAAAATAGTAGGAAAGATTAGAGCTTTGCTAGACGATTGAAACATTTTCAGTTTCATTTCAGACTCCATTTGGTAAGATCATTAAATCTTCTCTTTATTATTTGTCCATAGAAAGCACCTAGCATATGATGAATATTTTGGTGAATTCTTGATGATATTGCGATACTCTAGTATTACCTAGAGAAGTTGCAATCTCATCATTATAGATTATAGTTGAAGAACTAATCGAAGTTGTGCCCGTGGATGTCTCCAAGTTGCCAAACCACATTATCTTGGCGTTCTTGAAATTTATATATTTTCCTATTAGCATTGTTAGAATTGGTTGATTACCCTATTTTATTTACACACAAAGTGGGAAAAGATTTATTCTGCCGTGTAAATAGTTTGTTTCCGAACAAGTGATATCCGAAATTCATTATTATTATTTATTTACTTTTGTAATAGAATGGAAGAAAAATCATTTGGGATGATAAAATTGAGTTCGTCAAAATATCAATTGGGAAACAAAAAATGCATGATATGCTATACTGCAAAGATTTGTTTAAGCGTGTTAAATGTACAGCAAATCTAGAAAAATTATCTGATGAAATCGGAAACATTGCACATGAAAACCGCTACTATGATCAGATAGTGGGTTGATCATAATATATTTCATCATATTGCTGAAGAAACAAGGCTGATGCAGTTTGGAAAAAGTAAGAATCCATGTACGAGAAGAATACATCCAGAAATAAAGCAACAATAATTAGAATGCTCACAAATTTGAAGTAAAGGACTCAGTACGGTAGAGCATACAAGTGAGTTTATTGCCTTAGCGAATCAATTATCAACTATGAAGATGAACCTCGAAGATAAGCAGCAGGCACGTTTACTGCTCAGTTCTTTGCATGATAGTTGGAATACACTAGTGATTTAATTAAGCAACTCAGTATCAGATGGAAAATTAATCATCGATATATATAGAGAGTTTGCTCTACGAATAAGCCATAAAAAAGGAAAAAGTTGAATATTCTTCTGATGCCCTTGCAACTGAACAACATGAAAAGTGGGTAAGAAGTAAAAGCAGAAAGGCTGGTGGTCATGGGTAAAGGGATTCTTCTAGTGGGAAGTTTAAATCTAGAAAGAAATTGAGGTGTTATCATTGCAACAAACTTGGACATAAAAAGAGTGAGGGTAGAATTTGGAAAAGAGAACAGATGAAGCGAAGACATGTGAGAAAAAGACTAATACAATATTGACTAATAGTGATTGAGATGTTGTCCCTGATAAGGATACGGTCAGTCTTGCACGCCAAGACATTTATTGGGTGAATGACTCACCTTCTTCCACGCCACCTCATGTCATGCTTTCTTTAACTATTATATTGTTGGTGATTTTGGCGATGTCAAAATAGGGAACACTAAAGGGTAAGCATTGTTGGTGTTGGGATATCTATTTGGTAACTAATCATGGGAGCAAATTGATGCTCAAATATGTCAGAAATGTTCCAGATATTTGCCTCAATTTGATTCCTAAGGGAAAATTTCATGACGATGGAAATTATAACAGTATCGGTAGATGTAAATGGAAGCTCACCAAGGCTCCCTAACAATGGTCAAAGGAACAAAGACGAATACACTTTATGTTATGCAAACAAAGCATCAAAAAGGACAGATAAATGCAGTTCAGAAAGATGCATTTATTAACCTTTGACAGAAGAGGCTTGGTCACATCAGCGAGAAAGGACTTCAAACTCTTGATAGAAAGTTCATTCGTAATGTATAAGGTATGCCTCTTAAAACTTGTGTTGATTGCTTGGCTTGAAAAACACAGAGTTACTTTTCATTGATATCCCTCGACTAGAAAATCAAATATTATTGATTTGGTTCATTCCAATGTTTGTTCTATAGCAATAAAATATCTCGGAAGTGCACATTCTTTTGTGACATTTATTGATGATCATTGAAGAAAGATTTTGACATAGGGTAGATGGTTAAAAGCAATTCAAGCTGATAATGAAGGTAAGTGTCGGGGTCAGTGAAAAACCTATGGCAAAATTCATGTGATCAGGCTTGTGAAAAGTCGAACGAACCCACCTCAGCATCATGGTATGGCTGAAAGAATTAACAGACAATAGAGGAAATGGTCAGATGTATGTTGTCTAATGCTAAACTACCAAAAAACTTTTGAGGTAAAGGCTATGAGGACTGCAGTCGATATGATAAATCTATCTCCAGCATCAGCTTTAGATGGTGATATTTCGAACAAGAGCTTGGATAGGAAAATTGGTGCTTTGCAAGACGATTGGGAGATCAAAAAATTGTCAGTTTTGCCTCAAATTTAGTATGATTCATGAATCCTAGCAATGAGCTCTACATCATCCAGTCTCATTTTTTACTTTCAACTCCGATTGTTGAGATCATTAAATCTTTTTTTTATTATTATTTATTTTCATAATGGCTTCGTTAGAATTGGTTGGTTATCCTATTTTATTTACATAAAGAAAAAATTATTCCAGTGTACATTATATAGTCCATTTTTCCAACTATTACGTTGTCTAGTCCCATCAGATACTACATATCAAACACATCCTCAATGTTTCAATTGAAAACCATTACCTGAGAGGTTGAAGTTCATGAGATTCCGGGTATTCACGTAGCTCCTTCAAATAGAGAGGGAAAGAATGATAGCATATATCAGCGAAATCCCGGACAACGGTACAACTACCCTTGATAGTTCCCCAAGTTCCATCCTAAATTTTCACACGCCAAAAGGAAAAATCAAATAAAAATTAGAAAAGCAAAAATACAATTTCCATAAGAGAAAAATGGAAATAGAGAGGTTAAATAAATACCACTATGCAGTGGAAGAATTTCTTGGATTCATTGTCAAGTCTGAAAGCCTCGAAAGCCGAAACCCAAGGAGTAAAAAAACCATATCCCACTCCCACGAGTACACTACCAGCTATGCTAAGAGCCAACCAGATACCAAACAGAACAGGCAACCCAAAAAAGATTGCAACTTTAAGTGGTGCATCAAACCTATTTGTTCTGTTTTCAAAAAATAAAATAAATAAAATCGATCAATATGGAAAACCCACGTTAAAAATAATAATAATAATAAATAAAGATAAATAAATCAACAGCACAATTCAAACAACAAGAATCAAAATCACAACGTCTAGGTTGAGCAGAACTTCTAAAACACTCTGTTTCAAGTCTTGAAAACTGAAACTTCTCGGAAACTAGAAAATCACAAAAATTCCTAATTTTTATTTTATTTTATTATTATTATTTTTTTAAACAATGGAGAACTTAATTGAAGCTTTATGGACTTTTGACCAAAACATTTGAAACTTCATTACGAATTGTACTTCGTTGTGGGTTCTGTTGCCGACTTCAACCCAAAATTAACTTAATTGCAGGCTTTGACCTTGTACTACAAAGGATTAACAAGTTACTAGAATTTCAATCAATATTAAACAGCTAATTAGCACTCAACTATTGAATTTATAAAAATAATCATAATTTTGGGTCCATTTTTCTTTCATTTTTTTGGGAAAAATAGCACTCAAGAATTAGGGAGAGATGAGAAAAGGTAAAAAAAATATTACTTGACAAGGGTGTAAACTGTCCAGGCAACATGTGCAGGGAAAAGGCCTAAAATCACGCCCAGATTCCCCAAAATCAGAATTAAACAAGCAATAGGACCCACCAGTAAACCTGCAAACTCATAAACAAGAATACATAAGCTGATGAACGATCAAGAAACTTACGCAAGAATTCTTCAAACTTAAAGCAAATTTACACACTTTTAAGGGCACCCAGTAAAAGAGCAGAAAAGAATGCAAAAACTACATAAAGAGTCTTGGGCAAATATTTCCAACAATCTCGCATGATTTCTTTGAAAATTTTCGTCTGGAAAAAAAAATAGAATGGCAGAAAGACTTTCAGAAAATTTTCAAAGCTCCAAAGAAGTTTATAAGAATGAGAGAGAAGGGGAGGGGGAGGGGGAGAGGGGGNTCACACGCCAAAAGGAAAAATCAAATAAAAATTAGAAAAGCAAAAATACAATTTCCATAAGAGAAAAATGGAAATAGAGAGGTCAAATAAATACCACTATGCAGTGGAAGAATTTCTTGGATTCATTGTCAAGTCTGAAAGCCTCGAAAGCTGAAACCCAAGGAGTAAAAAAACCATATCCCACTCCCACAAGTACGCTACCAGCTATGCTAAGAGCCAACCAGATACCAAACAGAACAGGCAACCCAAAAAAGATTGCAACTTTAAGTGGTGCATCAAACCTATTTGTTCTGTTTTCAAAAAATAAAATAAATAAAATCGATCAATATGGAAAACCCACGTTAAAAAAAAATAATAATGAATAAAGATAAATATATCAACAGCACAATTCAAACAACAAGAATCAAAATCACAACGTCTAGGTTGAGCAGAACTTCTAAAACACTCTGTTTCAAGTCTTGAAAACTGAAACTTCTCGGAAACTAGAAAATCACAAAAATTCCTAATTTTTATTTTATTTTATTATTATTATTTTTTTAAACAATGGAGAACTTAATTGAAGCTTTATGGACTTTTGACCAAAACATTTGAAACTTCATTACGAATTGTACTTCGTTGTGGGTTCTGTTGCCGACTTCAACACAAAATTAACTTAATTGCAGGCTTTAACCTTGTACTGCAAAGGATTAACAAGTTACTAGAATTTCAATCAATATTAAACAGCTAATTAGCAATCAACTATTGAATTTATAAAAATAATCATAATTTTGGGTCCATTTTTTTCTTCTTCTTTTTTTTTTTGGGAAAAATAGCACTCAAGAATTAGGGAGAGATGAGAAAAGGTAAAAAAAAAAAATTACTTGACAAGGGTGTAAACTGTCCAGGCAACATGTGCAGGGAAAAGGCCTAAAATCACGCCCAGATTCCCCAAAATCAGAATTAAACAAGCAATAGGACCCACCAGCAAACCTGCAAACTCATAAACAAGAATACATAAGCTGATGAACGATCAAGAAACTTACGCAAGAATTCTTCAAATTTAAAAGCAAATTTACACACTTTTAAGGGCACCCAGTAAAAGAGCAGAAAAGAATGCAAAAACTACATAAAGAGTCTTGAGCAAATATTTCCAACTATCTCGCATGATTTCTTTGAAAATTTTCTTCTGGAAAAAAAAAATAGAATGGCAGAAAGACTTTCAGAAAAATTTCAAAGCTCCAAAGAAGTTTATAAGAATGAGAGAGATGGAGAGGGGGAGGAGGAGGAGAAGAGAGGTTCAAAATCAAATGATTCGAGAAGAACAAAAATAAACCCAAAAGTCCAAAACCCAAGAAGAATCAAACAGCAGGTCGCCGCAAGAATCTATATATTTAAAGGGTTTTGCGTGTACATTGGTACCTCAACAATTCATCTGAACTTGCATTGTTTTTCCTTTTAGGAGGCGAGGGTGCCTCGTTAGAATTTTTATACGTGCCATGCTTGGTGTGCATTATGGACACCATGACGCCTAATCACGCTCCCCTCCAGTAGAGAGGCGCCATGTGTTTAGTATGGACACCATTATAGTGTTCATAATGAACGCCAAGAATTATTCTTTTTATAAATATATTTGGATTGTTAGGTCATGTTTGTTACTTATTTAAATCAAATTTTTATATAAATTAAAGTCAAACAATCAATTTTAATAACATATTTCATGAATATCACAACTTTTCAACAACATATTTTATAAATTTTTGTTAAAATCTATTAAAAATCTAATTTTAATTCTTGCCAAATATAAACTTAATATTCTTAACATATATAAAGCATTTTTCAGTTTTCATTTCATTTTCAATTTTTTATTTTAAGGTTTTGTTTCAACGATACTAAAAATGCATTTGATTTGTCAATTTAAAAAGATAATTTCTCAAACTAAAAAATATGTTTGGTTTAAAATTTTGAAAATTTAGTTTACTAAAATTTATTTTATGAAGCTTGATTATTCAATAAAAACAGAACAAATTTATGTTACTATCAAATAATATATACATTTTAAAATTGGTTAATCTTATAATATTTTTTCTTGTTATAAAAGTAAAATAAAGATAAAAAAATTGACTTTAAAATATAGTAAATAAAAATAAAAATTAATGACATGAACAACTGAGAATATTTTTATGTGTTCATATAAATATTTTTGAAGAATTTTTATGTAAATAATCATTAAAAGCTTAAACTATTTTTTTATAATTTTTGTTTTTATATATTTTTATAATTCTAGTTTTTCATAAATTTTATTTTTTATTATTTAGAATGTTATTTTCTTAGAATTTTATATTATGCTTTTAAATTTTAAATTTTTTTTTTAGAATTTCAATTTTTAAAATTTTTTCATTTTAATGGTTAGAATTTTATATTTTAATTTTTTTTTAAACATTTGTGTTTCATATTTTGAATGTTTTCAAAATTTTCACTGTAACTCTCATAATCTCAAAAATGCATTTTAAGTTTTATATTATAAATTGATCCTCATTTTTGAAAATACATTTTCAGAAATACTAGACCAAACATTTTTTCAATCTTTCGTAAAATAGAAAGCAACTTAAAAACATCAAACCAAACGCATTCTTAAATTTTTGCTCAAGTCAAGAATGGAAATCTATAAATATATACATTTATTTTGTCAATTTTCAATTTTATGGGGTTTGATTGATATGGATTTTTTGATTTTTTTTTAAAGAATATATAATTAAAAATTAGGAAAAAAAATTATGAATTAGAGTGCAAAATTAATTTAATGTGAGAATTTAGAGCTGAAAATGAATTTTAACAAAGAAAAAATTTACATGTCTGTATCAAACGGGAGCCATACCATAAGTGGGTGTAAAATTGTTATCATACACAGGATTGCACAGGATTGCGATTAACTAAAAAGTCTTTGATTTTGACATTTGGATTAATATACATTTTATTTGCGGTTCAAGCAAGCTGCTGCCATACTCAGCCATGTGATTTTAGTTTGGTCAGATTAAGACTACGCCACGTGGACAACTAAAAGCACAGGATAGAATGTTCTCTTGTGTGTGTGTGTCTATATAT